AACAAGCAACCTTTGTTTAGTACCCTATTTATAGCCTCATCTATTTGATTGAAGAACATTTTTACGTCACTATTTGGAGATCTGTATACACAGATTACAATGATTTTAAATTTCACTATTTCAATAGCTGATATTTCCAGTGTTTTTTCTCTACCAAAGTTTTTTAATGAAGAAACCTCTCTGATCTTAATTGATTTGGAAACAAATATACAAGAACCACCATGCTTATCATTTATTCTACAAAAACTATCCGCAAGTTTATATTGATCAATATTTAGATGCAAGATTTGATCACTTAAAAGCCAGTGCTCCGAAAAGCATAAAATATCTGGCTTTTTGGGCCACTGCGAGAGCAGTGCATTTAATTCTAGTAATTTGTTGCTCAGACTTTGTACATTGTGGTGAAGAATACTCAAATACTGAGTTAAATTTGAACTTTCTTTAGGGAGATGGAAAGTTGACTTAAATGGATGATCTACCATAAAAAATCTTTATTTCGTTTAAGGGGGTGTCGTCGAGTTCTCTTTGCTGGTGCGCCCGTCATTTCTTGTCATATGAGCCAACTACAAGCAACAATTGTTTCCTTGTATACAAAACGGCAGAATACTTACCATGTTTTATTTCCTGGTAAGAATGATAATACAGGCTACTAAGGCCGTCAGAACTTCAAATCCAAGAATATTATTCTAATTCACTGCCCAACTTTCCAGTGTTCTCCAGAAATCTATAACAAGCTGCCCTCACTTCCTGCTAAACACGAACAAACTCAACCGATGTCACCAGATTACCCAACCTGCAAATCGAAGCTATTGGTGGACAACAGCGCCAAAGATTGCCGAACATGCAATAACAACACCGAACTCGTATCAGAGCGTATCAGAGTTACTTAGAACAAATACAAGTAAATCCTGGAAATTTGTAGCTAGTCAACAAGCTGCTACAGACTCAGTCACTTCCGGTCTCTTCTACACCAATCACAGCACAGCTCATAAAATGAAGCTATTGGTAGGAAACATGACGGCGTATGACTCACGTAGCAAGCGCCAACAGCTTAGTCGATAAAAGGTTTAATTACTATCCAAATATAACTCTTTTCACAATTTGAACACACTAATCAATATTAAGACTTTGGCACTGTAATGACTTGCAGTTAGCTAAAGGCTCGATGTGTCCGAGGTATATATCGCCTCCCCCTTCAGGATCGAAGAGTAAGCCGCACAAGGAACCAATATGGAAGTGGAAAGCTGCTTCTATCTGGTTTCGTGTTTGGTAAAATCTTAGACCCTGACAATGAAGGAGATACGTCGCGCTTCCTTCGCACTACATGGCGTTAAAATCGAGATGATCGTAACCCTCAAAGTCATGACAGAGAGAACCTGAAATCCAACAGCAATGAATAATCAGCATTTCTTCTACTGTAAAGTAACTTCGTTAAAAAAAAAAGAAAAAAAGATTGACTTGTAACTTAATCGACATAACTGCACTCATGTTTATCAGGACTAAGTTTGACCGCAATCTATGCGAGGAAACTATAATTATCATCGTCTACTGTGAGCCGAGGGCTCAAGATATCTCATTGCCTTTGTGTAAAGTAAGAATTCAGCTCTGATTTTCGGGGTCAGTCACCGAAATAAAACATGTCCTGGTCTGATTTTGACCACGATTTAAATAAACTATTGCAGTTTGATAAACAGGAAATCGAGATGGCTCAGTCAATATAACAATGGGCTACGAGACCAATTGAGCTTGATTTCAAAAGGGCAGAACTGCAAAATACATATTTGGAAATCAGCGAGCTATGTACAAGGTGCTGAAGGCTTCGATAACAGAAAATTCGTTAATTCACTTAGAGCAGGAAGTGATAACTGCAATATACAAACGGTTTTCAAAAATCAACCCTCCTCCCTCTCTTTCCATTTCTCTGGTCTCTTTATAAGTATTTGGGCTTAGCCCCTGTACCTCCAAGAAAGCACAGTCCACACTTCCAATAATTTACAATGCTCAGTCAGAACCTTCTGTAACCAAAAAGACTTCTGGACTTACAAAGAACAGTTAGAAGGCCAAACTCAAGCTTCAGGAGGCTCCGTCTGAGCAAACTTAGGGAAAATAGCCAGTTACAAGTTCAAAACACTTACTCATGATCACTAAATTTTCACTACAACTATTCATTTGAGGAACACCTTTCCACAAATCCCTTGAGGGGTGTTTTATGCATATGACTCTATGTCAAATAAAATTTCATCCATAGCTGATTCCACCCAATTTTTGCACTAGTCCTCTCAGTAGGACTCTCTTAATGGATCATTTCTCTTTCAGATCCCTATTCAATTTCACTACTTCCAGGCCCCTTCAAGATGATTTAACTTCACTTTTCAGAACAGTATGTTTATATTACCCTTATTTTAAAAATATACTCATATATCAGTCAACTTCAGTAGCCACAAATTAGAAAATATTCTGTGGTGAATAGCTTTGTAAACTATTCTTAAACTTTGTGCACATTACAAACTGAAGAACTAACCTTTGTGATTATCCCAAGTGAGATCAGCTCCCATCTCTACACTGTGGATTCCCACTTGCGGTCCATACAGCCAAAGCCAGCCCAAAATGAACTGATAGGATCAGATTTCAGAACATTGGTCAAAGCAACCTGTCAATCATTTTAACTGATGAATGACAACACATGTGTCATCCTTTAACTTGACAATCAACAGCGATACTGCGAGAATTTAGCTGAATTAAGAGGAAAGAAAATGTGTGTATACATATAATATATATATAATTGAATGTTAGAAGTTAATGTGTTCTTCTGTGTCACAGATATGTGTATAGAGGTACTCCTCAATTTATGTGATCTGTGCTCCAAAGAAGGTTAGTGTAGGCTGAAATAGCACATAACAAACAAAATTTATCCATAATAATTAAATAAATGTCTGAGATCTGCCACAAATGTTAACAGAATATTTTTGCTATTTATCCAACAGACTGTCTGTGCAGTAAAAATGGTTACAGGATCTAGGCCAAATAAATGAGAACAATCTCAACAATGTAAGACTTGAAGCTAGCAGGTACTTCAGGAAGAAAACGTGGAAATATCGTAAAACTAATAGTAAAAAAAAAAAAAGAAGAAGAGTACATACATATATCTATAGATGAATAAATGAAATTTGGAAGTGTTACCAACTTAAAACTAACATGGTAAAGGATGAGAACGATAAAATTGTATTTCAGCATGATGTTTCATTGACGTATCACCCTATACATCCACTTCCATCTTCAATGCAACTCTGTTCACAATCTCTCCTTAATTCCCACTAACTGAGTTATGTCACCTTTGTATGAATACAAAAATGACATAACTAGACTAATGAGAACATATATACTGATGGGGCACATAAAAATAAAGATACCAACACAACACCAATATTCCTAGGGCTAAATAAAACAACATACAAAAAAATACGGAAGTCAGTAAGAGGAAAACAAAACCCACCAGATTAAATGGTTAGAACTTCAATTCTGGAGGCTGGCTGAAGGTGAAGGATTAAAGGTAACAAAACGTAAAAAAAAGTAAAGCTGTCCCTGTACCAGGCCGTGAAGGCCCATAAGGTTGCGAGACGTTGAGGGTCCCACATTATCTAGACAATCGGCTCAAAGATGGCGGTAAGGCTGTCAGCCTTACACCCCAGCCACACTTTACTCCCCAGGAAAATTATTTAATTAAATTAGGGCATAATAATTCTTCACATTATTCTTTTGCTCACGAGTGTAAATACTCCCTTGTATTTATGCACAGTCAGAATACATCAATTGGAGAACATATATCTCACAGAGGAAGATTTGAGATAATTCACTGAGATCAAAAAAGTATCTTACATATGTGTTGGGGACACTCTGCACTGTGAGTGCAATATCATCTCTACACACAAGGAAACTATCTATTACTTGTATCTCAGAAACAATGACAATACCCAGTTTATATGGATTGTTTATTCAGTACACTCAGCAACCAGAATGGTTTATTATACACACAACAGGAAAGTGGTATCTTCAACCCACTCAGCTTCCTCGTTGAGATTCCACATACCACAGGAAAAGGCCACTTCCCACTACACGTGCACTGGTGTGTGTTCAGACCATCCTGATAGCTCAGAGACGTATTACAAACATTGCTGGAAAACAGACAACATGCTTCACATGGAAATGGAAGCTCCCCACTATGTATGCAGTTATGTATCACCAGATCAGTTTGCCTGTACAATGATTTATTATGTATGAGGGTGAATCAAATGAGAACCTTGTAAGTGCAAAAAAATTGAGATCCTTCTGTCTGCTTCATTAGAGAAAACTGTTGCATTAAGGAGAATAAAGTTGCCGCCATGTTGAATGTCAGTCATGGTCCAGTTCACCTTATCATCCATGACATGTTGCAGCTCCACGAAGTGTCCACAAGACTGGTGCCTTAACTAGTGACTCCCAAACAATATAAAACAGAAGCTGACAGTTTCCTGAAGACCATAGTGAATGGAAATGGAAGCTGGGTCAACTACTACCAGCCTGAAATGGAGCAAAGATGACACTATTCTAGCCCCGAACCCAAAAAATTCTGCACATAGGCATCCAGAGGAGAAGTGATGCTGCTGTGCTCTAGAGATCCAAGGGAAGAGCATTCACCAGTGCCTTAGTTTTGCAATCTCCTTAGGTATATCTCAGACCAGCCATCAGATCAGAACATGGTGGACTGCACAGTACTGGTGGCTTATTGTTGCATAATGCCAAGCTGAAATGATCAAGGATATTCATTTCGAGTGTCTCCCTCATCTGCCGTACTCACCTGACTTCCCCCTTGTGACTACCATATCTCTGATCCACTAAAGGAGGCGCTTGGTGGAGTGACTTTCCAATCTGAGGGACATGTGTAACAGGAAGCGCAGGAGTGACTACACAAGCAGCCAAATTATTCTTCCCCNTCTTCCCCCCCCCCCCCAAGGAATTCAAGTATTAGAGAATCACTTGAGGACATGCACTGAATGCAATGGGAACTGTGTTAAAAATGACAGCTGTAGAGTACCCCATTTTATAAAATCAGCTGATAATTTCAAGGTTTTCATTTGTCTTGACCACATCAAAGTAAGAAGGCCGTTCACCACTATTCATGGACTGCTGCAGGATTTAGTGCATATCCCACAGGAAAATAAGAGCTACCCACTATGCATGGGTTGATGTTTCATCATATCACCATGTTCCTTGAATGATTTAATACACACACTGCAGGAAAGTGGCCACTCACCAGCACATATATGTTGGTCTTTCTTCAGAAGACCCTGCTGCCTGAATAACTTGTTACATCGCAGGAAAATGGCTACTCCCCAACATGTTTGCGTTCATGTCTTTTCAGATTACTTCGATCACTGAACGATTTACTACAAATACCACAGCAATATAGCCGCTCCCCAGTATGTATGCGCTGATGTCTCTTCAGATCACCCTGCTCCCTGAATGACTTATTACACACATCACAGGAAAATGGCCGCTCCCCACGATGTATACGTTGGTGTGTCTGCAAATGAACATGTTGCCCGAATGACTTATTACATATATCACAGCAAAAAGGCCGTTCCCCACTATGAATGCGTTGATGCGTCTTCAAATTACTTTGTTTACTGAAGGATTTATTACATACATCACAGGAAAATGTTCTCTCCCCAGTATGTATGCGTTGATGTTTCTTCAGACTACCCTTTTGCCTGAATGACTCATTACACACATTGCAGGAAAACTGCTGCTCCGCACTATGAATCCGTTGATGTCTCTGCAAATGAACATTCTGCCCAAACGACTTATTGCATACACCACAGGAAAATGGTCGCACCCCAGTATGTATGCGTTGATGTTTGTTCAGATCACCCTGCTCTCTGAATGACTTATTACACACATCACAGGAAAATGGCCGCTCCCCATTATGTATGCGTTGATGTGTCTGCAAATGAACATGTTGCCCAAAGGACTTATTACATATATCACAAGAAAATGGTCGCTCCCCACTATGTATGCGTTGATGTGTCTGCAAATGAACATGCTGCCGGAATGACTTATTACACACATCACAGGAAAATGGCCGCTCCCCAGTATGTATGCGTTGATGTTTCCTCAGAATACACTGCTGCCTGAATAACTTATTACACACATCACAGGAAATCTGACGCTCGCCACCGTGTATGAACTGGTGTCTCTTCAGATGACTCCTCTTCTTGAATGACTTATTACATATACTGCAGGAAAACTGACACTCCTCACGATACACGGACTGATGTTCATTCAGAGTACTCTGGTATAAAAGAAAAAAAAGGAGGGGGGTCGTCATTAATCTTAACAGGAAGGATGAGTCTGACAGCAGGGTGTGAATCAGTCTTATATTATGTAGGTAAGTCAATAAGTAAGTTACAAATGGATATAGAACTTAAACAAATAGGAGTACTGATTTGAAAAATGCTTTCATTTCTCAACATAATTTCCCTGTACATTGAGGCATTTGTCCCATCGTTTCACAAGCCCCTGAAAACCAGCACATAAAAATTTTTTGGGCTGCTGTCGGAACCAGGCGTGTTCACATGGCATGGCCTACCTCAATGCATGACAGTTTGCATGCTTCCATTGAATGGCCTTATGAAGTTTCCTGAGGATGTTACAGTGGGACTCGACATTTACTATTTGTCCTTGAGGCTGGACTGCAGTGAACAGTATGCCTTTGTGATCCCAGAAGACTGTGAGCATCACTTTCGTGGAGGATGGTGTCACCTTAAACGTCTTTTTTGGCAGGCAACGCAGGATGTTTCCACTGCATTGATGCACACTTTGTCTCAGGCTCGTAAGGGTGAACCCAAGATTCATTGCCTGTGGCAATTCGGGCTAGCATATCGTGTCCTTCATCTTGGTAGCAATTGAGATGCTGTAATGCCAGACCCAGTCTTTGCATTTTGTGTTGTGGGGTCAGCATTCACAGCACCCATTGTGCACAGACTTTGTGAAAACCTAACCTGTCATGCATTATGAGGTAGGCCATGCCATGTGAACATGCTTGGTTCCGACAACAGCCCAAAGAATTTTATGCTGCTGGTTTTGAGGGGCTTGTGAAAGAATGGGACAAGTGCCTCAATGTACAGGGAGACTATGCTGAGAAATAAAAGCACTTTTTAAGTCAGTACTCTTATTTAAGTTCTATATCCATTTGTAACTTACTTATTGACTTACCCTCACATATTATATGAATTGTTCTTCATCAAATCCCATTTGCAAAGAACACAGCTCTTGTAATGCAATATCTATTTGTCTCATTCATACTGTGATGTTACACTCACTCCACCCCACATTTTCCATACCATATTTGAGACCCAATGGTTACCATGAGTGATTTCTGTGGGCAGAAAAGGCCTAAGTATGACAGTTACCACTTACCTCCTCCTAGTGCTGTGGATGAGAATGGTGGAGCCTTACCTCCACTCATCACATGCATTCATGGCATGGTGCTTAATAAATTAAGACCAGGAACAATTTTACTTTTATGAAACCCCATTACACAACCAGGAGTTCTAGGCAGAGTGAGCTGTTAGACACTATACTGCTTTAGAATGGCATTTAAAAAGTTTTTGGAACATTCTCTGATGAATTTATTGAAGAAAATATGTATAATTTTTTATTCAAGGTGCATTTCATAAGAGACATCTACAAATATAGTCCATGCCTTCTGAGATTGAAATCTGGAATGCATTTCTACACATCATTACACACGAACTTCGCTGTCTCTGACAGAATTTCTTACATTGCTATATAATGTGATTGCATTTTTTGAGTCAGTTAAGTATGGTGGGATTACTGAAATAATTTCTTAAGAATGGACAGAGCCTAATATTAGACTGTGTAACAACATAGTATATTTCTTAAGTGAAAGAATTCCATTCCACAACAAAGTGATACAGTGGGCCAGTGAGCTAACAGAGGAGTCCCTGTTATCAGAGCCTGAAACCCAACAAAGTGTGTGTCAACAGAGCTAGAAATCAAAAGCAATATAATAATTACAAAACAATAAAGAGTACTTGTGAACTGTATAACTATTTGCAAATAAGATGATTCAGTGTCCAATAAATCCAAACTCCATGTAATGTTACTATCATGTGACAATATGATGACAGTCATCAGAAGATGGTACTAAACCCAACTTCCAAAACATCGTGCAGACCAGGCAGAAAACACGTCAAATTTATTTGTATTGCCATGTGACAGCAACTATACAAGTGGTTTTGATTTGTAACTGGATATTTTGGTCACTGAATTGTTTTATTTACAAATAATAACAGTGTACAAGTATGCACTATGTAATCTCTTACATAATTTTTGCATGCTAGCTCTCTCATCACAGACACACTGCTAGATTTAGGGTTCAGGTAACACGGTCTCCTCTGTTAGTTCACAGGCACTTTACACATATCATTTCTTTGTGCCTTGATGAGAAAATACCACCCCAAAAGTTCCTCAACAGTAATGAGTGTAAATGGCTGTCAGGGTTTGGTGCTCAATGTCACCTAGCAATGGATGCTTCTACAACACTTCTCTGATTCAAAGATTCTAACTTTTAGGCATCAGTCCCATTCCTCCTCCTTAAGCCTGCTCATTTCAAGAAGCCTCCATCTATACTGCCATTTCCTCTACTACGAGAGTTTCCATTTTACATCTATGACTACCCACAACGCATGTCCTTCCACTCTTGAGACTGTCCAGCATTCCTTGCAGAATCAGCCCCACACTGCTCTCAGTAGATGTTCATTCCTTAGGGCAACATATTCCTGTGGATGCCGCTATGCAGATGCTGGTGCCTTCAGTCCCTGCCCCTCATTATAATCTGTGTGTCAACACAGGTGAGCGATGACAGTCTAATTGCCAAGGGCATCAGTGATGATCGCCAGGCAGTACATTATCACAGTACTGCCTGAGGGAGAGATGACCCAGCCATAAGTGCTGCAGATGGCATCATGGGAGACCATCCCCATACTGAAGGACATGGTTGGCAGAGTTCACCCTGTGGCAGTGACCACTGATGGCTTGTTGTTGCGACTCCAGATGAGTTCATCCCGGGGCTTGACATCTTGCATGTCCACAATAAAGTGATGGATAACAGACACCTTGTGCTGTTACTGGGAGGTGAATAAGTGACATCACCAAGCCCTGGGGTGTGTCCACTGTCTTCATTTATATGAATGGCAGTAGTGAAGTGACAACAGGTTTGTGGGGCACAGTCATGATGGTGCAGCTGCAAGGTTCCCTGGAGGTGATAGATAGCATATTGGGTTGAGGCTCCTATGCCATCCTGGTCAAACTCTGCCCAGGCAGGCGTCTTGGCGGTATGCCCATCAGCATTCTCACCTGACATGGCTCATGCTCCCACACTGCTAGTATACAAGTTGCCAGTCTTGCTGTACTCAGCCCCAGGTGACTACGGTCTCTTGGATGTTCTACACCTAACCACACAAGATGCTTTGGTCTCAGTGCCTCCAAGGCCATCTCAGGTTTTGACTTCCACCACCTTTGCCTCCAGGCCATGCAGTGTGGCTTCTGCCAGCATCTTCATCCCTTTTATCTTGCCGAGGAGCTCCTCACAAAGGCTCTATGTCCTCTGGTCAATAAACACCAGGATGCTCTCCACCAACTTGCTGACCATTTCCTTGAATTTTGCCTGGGTAGAGAGGATGGCATTTACCTCGGCCTCCATCTTCTCTTGGCCGGTCCATGTGGTGGCTATCATCTCCTCCCGGATGGGCCTTACTGCAGCCTCCATCTTTCAGTGGATAGCATTTACTCAGGGCCTTCAACTTTTCATGGCTGACCCCCACCTTTTCATGGGAATCACTTACAACAGGCACTCCATTTCAGTGTTCATCTCTTCTTGGTCAGCACTTCTGGTGACCTAGAACCCTTCCTGACCAGCCAGCAGACTTTCCACTGTGTGGTTCATTTCCTTTATCCAACAGCAATCCCACTTCTGAGACCAAATGTCATGTGCTAGTCAGATTAGTAACTGGATTTATTGACACTGAATCATCTTATTTATTAAGGATTACACAGTGTACAAGTGTGCATTATCATTCTGTAATCTGTTACATCAATCTTGACATCAGGTTCTGATAATGGGGGATCTATGGTTGGGGTAGGAAATGTACATAGAGTAGGGTAAATTGCTGCTTCACCTTGCTAGCAGTCATTATTAGTTCAAGCTTCCGCAGGACTCATGACCATATTTTTCTGTCTTATAACTCTTGGTGTCATGCACTGGTGCTTGGAAATCTCTGTTAGCTCATAGGCCCTCTGTATCATTTTGTTGTTGAATAATGAGAAAAAAAAACAATCCCTAACAGTTTCTTGGCTGTTCTGCACATAAATGGTGATTCGAGACTGGTGCTTGATCTCACATAGCAATGGATGTCTATACAATGTTCCAAGATTCTGACTTTTTGGCATCATGTCAGAGTATAATGAGCCAACTTCTTAAGTACTGAGTATAATTAATATGAGGGTCGCACTGAAAGTCATGAGCAACAATTTTTGTGAAGTAACATGCTTTATTATTGACAAACCAAATACACCACCTCAATCTACAGACCTTTATTTTTCCACATAATCGCCACTTTTTGTATACATTTCTCCCAGCGTTCTGGGAGTATGAAAAATCCTCTTCTGTAAAATTCCATTCCAGCCATCCAAAGACACTGACGCACTACTTTCTGAATTGCCTCCCTTGTCTCAAAACGTTGTCCATGCAGTTGATCCTTCACAAATCTGAAGATGGTAGCCGGAGGGTGCCAGATCAGGGCTATAGGAGGGGTGTGGAAGAACTTCCCACCCCATCTTTGCAATTGCTTCCAATGTGACCTTTGTGGTCTTCGGTCAATAACCGCGGGACCCAATGAGCACAAACTTTCCTATAGCCCAAGCTGTCAATCATCTCCTGTACTGCACTGCACTGTGCCCTATTCCAAGTTTTCGGGCTATTGTGTCCACAGTCACACGCCTGTCATCTTGAATGATCTCATCCACTCTTTCCTTGTTGCATTCAGTTGAGGCTGTTCGAGGATGACCGCTCCGAGGCTCATCTTCGATGCTGGTGTTCCCATCTTTAAAATGTTTCACCCATCTTCGAACACTGCTTGCACCCATGCACAAACTTCCATAAGCATGCTGAATTCAGAAAGCAGTGCGTCAGTGTCTTCAGATGGCTGGAATGGAATTTTACAGAAGGGGCATTTTCAAACTCCCAGAATGCTGGGAGAAATGTGTACAAAGAAGTGGTGATTATGTGGAAAAATAAAGAAAGGTCTATAGATTGAGGTGGTGTATTTGGTTTGTCAATAATAAAGGCTATTACTTTACAAAAAATTGTTGTTCATGACTTTCAGTATGACCTACGTATATGTCAGACAATGGACAATGTCCAGCACATCTCAATAATCTGTCAAACATTGTCACATATATTTAAAGAATCATTATTTATCCTGTAATGGAGACCTACTACTAATGATGACTGTCCTGTTGTATAGCTATAAATTGCACATAACTAAAAAATAAATAAATAACAATTAAAAAAAAATTCTGCAGTATCAAAACAAAGCTTATAGGAAAAGCTGCTCAAGGAAAATATCAATTTCTGTGGCTGTCACATTTGTCTTGAACATTTTTCAATTTACTCAATACATAATCCACTTTTATGTCAGAATACCTTGAAACAAAACTAAAGTCATAATTCACAAGCAATGTGCAACAAGATACAACAATCATGAAACATTTCTCAACTGACGCTCTTCAAAACACATTCATACATTGCAGCTGTGTAATTTTGAAAGAAAAACACAGAGATGAAACCTAAGAGTACACACACAGACATACAACTTACCTCATGTTCACAGGCCTTTACTTGTGGAAATGTTATTAGCAGAGGATCCTCCTCCTCTTCCGCATCTGAGACTTCAACTTTTTTATTCATAAATTGATTTGAATCACAAGAAGACACTCGAAATGTCTGAGTCCATGAAACTGGTACATCTTTCTCTAAATCCATACAGTTCTGCAAAACCACCATACTCACAGTAGTCAAGGCTGTTCTCTCTCATTAGAAGAAATGAAGTACTTTAATGATTATGAACATTCTGCTCTGTACCAAAATCTTAACTGCTACATTGTACACTCATATTTATTCACAGCTTTCAAAGTCATTACCAGTAACTAAATTGATCAGACTTCTACTTCAGAATGTAGTGGTCTCTTAGCTAGTGTAGAAAGTGTCTACCACTTCTGAAACCGGAAGTTCACTATTGTGTTGACAAGAACCAATGGTCTCTGCCCTAAGCTAAACAATTCCAGCCCATAACCTCCATCATCATATTTATAATTTAGCAGATCCTCCCATCTTTATGCTCGCTGTCTTCTATGGATGGATAGCTGAATAATCTCTGGTTCAATTACTGTACTTATAAAGCTCCCTTGATGAGATGGGTATCCATATACAAGTGGGGCACAGAAGATTGAGAATGAACATAAATATAATTATTACTTGAACCATCAGGTCATAAGGATCTCAACAAAGTCTCTGGTAAGAAGAAGAAAAAAAAGAGAGTACAAAATAACAATCATTTAATAACTAAAATTTAACAGTAGGCATGCTTAAAGAGTATGCCGTCAAGTAGGTATACAAATAAGATAATAAGAAAACTTTGAATGATGTAGAAATTATACTGAAGCAAACTTACAATGAGGAAAACTTTCAGTAATCCAAAATATGAATCTGAATAAAATAAAATAATAAAAAAATTAGCTCGTAAGTTGGGCTAGATACAAACCCAGACCACATTTTGGAACCCATTCATCCATGTCTAACATAGACCAAGGCATCAAGAAACATTAAGTAAAAACAACATTCACAAAAGTAAAACATCATAGATCATAAAATTATACATTTCCTTTTCATGAATGATAAAAAGGACTTTCAAAATAAATCACGACATGACACAAACACCTCACTGCAACACACCTACAACAGACTTACATCTACAAGCACTCTCTTGCCCTCATCAGCCTTGGTGAAGACACTCAAAATGTAATTTTGAAAATACATGAGACCAAGATCAGATTTAGTGCCTAGCTTCACTGACTGATGATAAGCAACTGATGGCCTAGATAGATCAGAACCCAAGGTACCCCATCATTCTAGAACAGAACATGAAAGGGAAATTGGGTGGGTCACATGATGGATATGGTGAGGTGACACAAACTGGGTTATACGCTAGGAATCGGGCTTGGGGGGGGGGGGGGGGGCGATGAAAGACAAGGACACTGGCCAGAAGCAACACACCTGAGCCATGGAATAAAGTACATGGCTCAATATCCCTACCTTCACAGAAAAACATGTTCATCGTCGCTCAACAGCCATGGCCCCGATGGAATGGCGTGTTCTATCTTATTATGCCACTTGTCAAAGTCCATCATAACTAGTTGGAACCCAAACACTCATTCATCACCGCATAAAAGTGATAACAAATAGTATCAGACTATCCACAGCAGTCCATAAGGAGACATATGCAAAGTAGCCACTGACTGGAGCATAGCAGCCTGAAGTAACAATATACAGCTACAAACACAGCTCCTCATAATCACCAGGCAGTCAACAAATGCACACACACAGTATCTCCAGCTCTAAATCAGCTGCTTATCTAGGGGCTGACCAGTGATGCTCCTCCCAGCTCGGGGCACTATCCGCTAATGGGCCCATATGCACAGCTGTACCAAGGGACTGGTCAATAGATGCAACATTATGATGGGACAACATGCAGGCTGAATTGGTTACAAAAATAATGATCCTGCTAGGGGAGGCAAACCTGTGCACCTTAACATGTCATGACTCAGTGAGGGGCAGAGGATAGAAGGGACAAGGATTAACTTGCAGTTCCAGAATGAAAGACAAAATACATACAACTCTTATGAAAAACAAAATCCAAGTGTTAAGTAAAATAAAAACTTGACCCAAATAAATATACAAAGACAACTCCGATGTAAAATACTGTACTGCTTGAGCTGAGATACATGAGCTTTTCTTAGGCCCACCCATACACACACAGTTTGGCAGTCTTGTGTATTTGTTAAAACATGTCTACAGTTGATGAACTGTTTGCATATGCAGCTATCGCGTGTGCATTGCAAAAAAAAAAAAAAAAAAGAAATGCACGCGCAAGTTATGTACCAAACAGTGGTTAGAAAGAAGAAATCCTTTCACTCACTTAAATGTTTTCCAAAAGACTGGAGCAACTACCTACATATGGATGAAAGTACTTACCTGGAACTGTTAAGTATTGTTTCACCATACATAAAAAAATAAGATACAAAGATGAGAAAAGCGATCACACCCAATGAAAGACTGACAGCAACGCTTCACTATCTAGCTACTGGAAGAACCCTTGAAGACCTGAAGTTTTCTACTCGTATCTCTCCTCTAGCATTGGGAAGAGTGATTCCTGAGACCTGCAAAGCAATCTACAACTTACTGAGGAAGTATTGCAAGATAAGTAAGTGAAACAAGTTTGTTTGAACATTTTTACTTTACTACATAGGATATGAAAAGTGAGGTTAACATTATAAATACAGGAAGATAAATAAACTGTCATGGTACGCACATTAAAAAAATCTCTCATGCCCAACAGTTACTACAGCCCAGGCAGGAGTTAATGAATTAAAGTAATATTGACCCGCCTCTCTAGTAGTGACCTATGCAATCATTGCGGCTGGAATCCAAAGAGATACTCGTATTTGACTAAGGGCCAAGAGTATAGTATGCTCCAGTACCGGTATTGATTGAAGAGTAGCTAGAAAGCGATCCAAGCTCTGCTTCAAAAAGGGCGTCATTTATTAATTTCTCTGCATAAATCCTTTGTTCATTATTCCTTAATGCTCGTAATTTGGCAGCGACATTTTTTGCAAAGAAGTCAAATCTGTCCTCATTTTTCACTTGAGCCAGTCGATCACCCACTGCCACAAGTATCTGATCACTAGCAGGCAGATTCTTTTTACGTTTGAATGAACAGCCGTAGGAAGAGATGTCTGAACCAGTGCTGATGCTTAATTCTGCATTTTGATTTGAAACAGAGGAGTGCGCTGAAATGCCTGGAGGGACTGACTTTTGTGTAATTTCTTGTTCTGTTTCTTCTAAGTCCTGCAAACAACAAAACATAAAAATATTGTTACACCCCAAGCATGTTAATCTCCCTCTCTGTGTGTATGTGTGTCTCTCTTCCTCTCAGTGCCTTCTGCCATCTGTTTACAGTGCCCTACATTGCAAGAGGAGTGGAAGAAAGTTGCTAAGGAGTGTGAAGATCGGTGGCAGTTTCCCAACTGCATAGGAGCCATGGATAGAAAACATGTGGCTATCACACCTCCTCCAGGGGCTGGATCATTCTTCTTTAACTATAAAAAATTCCACAGCCAGGTTTTATTTGGGGTTGCAAACGCCAATTATGAGTTACTATACTCCAGTTTTGGATCAAAAGGGCATGTGTCTGATGGTGGAGTTTTTCAAAGCACAGATTTCTACAGGACACTTGAAAGTGGGAGTTTGAATGTGCCAAAGGAAAAAATTGTTGCTGGGAGAAATATGCCTTTTGTTCTTGTAGCAGATGATGCCTTTCCACTGAGGAAAGACATCATGAAGCCTTTCAGCCGTAAAGTAAACACATCAGCCTGTAAGATATTCAACAACCGTTTGTCTAGAGCTTGGCGAATGATTGAAAGTGTTTTTGGTATCATTGTGGAGAGATTTGCAGTATTACAGAAACCCATCTCTATCATAGATTTGACTAGCGCCCGCCATATTGTTATGGCGTGTTGTGCCCTGCATAATTTTTTGCGCATCAAGATTCCGAATCAGTACACACCATTGGCGTGTTTGGATGATGAGGATTTTGAAACTGGGAATGTTATGCCTGCTTATCGCTACAGTCAATTTATGGATCTGGAAAGATGACAGCGGTATTTTCCTACCCAGGATGCGAAACTTGTAAGAGAGTTGTTTTTGGAGTATTTCAACAACGAGGGAAAAGTTCCATGGTAAGATAAGTTCTGTTTTTAAAAACAGTACATCCAGGCAGAAGGCTCTGATTCTGTACACATGCACAGAATTATTTAGCGTTTAGCATTGTAATCTATAACTGTTAACATGCAATAAAAGTTTGATTTTTAATTACACCGCTTACCTCCGTATCACTAACAAGACTTGAAAACCCGTCCAAGGCCTCTTCTTGGTCTACCAGGAACAACAAATCTTTGTAGTACCACAATTTTGGGACATAGAGGTCTTCACTACTCACTCAAGATTTCTTAGCCATCAATACTTTCTTCCGTTCCTTCCTGAAACTGCTACGTAGATTGTTGATCTTTTTCAACACAGTTTCCTTGGTAGCCTGGGGATCAATTGTTTTCATTTTTTCCGTCAGTGCTAAATAAGCACTCTCTTTCATTTCACGGTTTTGGTATTCCTTGCTCTTGACCTTCCAAATGCAAGGATGACCACGAAATTCTTCAATAAACTCGACTAAAAAGTCCTTCGACCATGTCGCCATAGCACAAAGTTTCAAAATACCATGAGAAATGACCACAATGGCAAACAGTACTAAAAAACACGAGACAGCAACAGCAACTGAGCGATTGGCCTGCTGGTATCATCACACACGTACGTTCCGCCTGTCGTGTGCTACGGCCTGCAGGCAGAACTGACGGGTTTCCTACAGGCCAACAGTCCAAATGATTGGCCAGCCGGCCGCACCACACACGTCAGTTTTGCCTTTCAGTCTTCAACTGTGCAGGCCGAATGGGAGGCCAAACTGTGTGTGTATGGGGACCCTTACAGTAACTCCTGTATCAGGATTGGCTAACAGAACAGTAACAACAGAAACAAACATTGCTATGGCTAACAGTAGAGACCATTCATAACCTACTTTAGCAGAAAGCTGGTACAACTTGAAACTAAGAGGGTATAATCCAACCAATCTCAAATCACAATCTCGATGCACAGCTTGCCATCTTAGACCATTACAAATGCCATTCTGGTATGATCTTTTCTCAAATTTGTCAAAGCAGTCTCCCAAAATTCACTAAAAATGATGGGTAAATGCAGTGGAAATAGACAGTATACAGACTATAAAAGTGAGAAACTGGAAACAAAATCTATAACCAGGAAAGTTTGGAGGCATTATTTAATAGATGCCAAGGTTTCACTACAGGCTGTTGCATCATAGCAGTAGTAATGGTAGGAGTCATGGCAGCAGCAGCAGTAGCAGTGGTTGCTGTGGTGTTGGCAGTGGCAGCCGGAGGAGGCGAAGGAAGAGGAGGAGGAGACGATTATGATCATTCATTAATACCTTTTGAATCTTTCTGATGCTCTAGTTTAAATAAATGCCATTTAAGCTCCAGGGGATCATTCAATTCCCCACTCAGAAATAGCAATGCTGGAGTTGCTGCAGTTGACTTGTGCCAAGATGAGTTACAGGCTTTAGCCAGAGGTGAAAGATTCTCATGCCAATGGGTGTGTCAGAAATTATCATAAATAACTACAGTAGCCCTTAGATCATGATTCAAGTGTTCCACCAGGGATGCCAGAGAATAATATGGAGAGGTGGAAATTTGGCAAATTCCCATGAAAAGCAAAGGTTACAGAATATTTTACTTGAAGACGCAGCATTGTCAGAAATAACTAACTGTAGGACCCAAAAATATGAAGAATTTTCCCACAAGATGGTTCACTGCAACATCCAAAGACATCTTCCTAAAAGGATACACACACAGATGAACTCTGAGAATCCATGTAACACAGCCAAGATAGCAATATTCCTCACACCAAATTCTGAAAATTGGCCTGATAGTAAACAAACATTCTTTCTAAGGGTCTTGCTGCTATTCTACGGCTGTGAAGGCATGCTCTAGAATATTGGGCAGGTTTAGCCCTCTGACAATCCTGACATTGCCTCAAAAAATTACAGACATCAGTTCCCATACCAGGCCAATATAAACTTTTCAGTATGGCTCAGTGTCTTAGTCATTCCTAAATGAACACCCATAGTATAATTGTGGAAGTATTCTAGGACTATAGGTCTTAATGTCTCTGGCAGAAGATAATGCTTCATCTTAGCTTCAGAAGGACAATAAAGTAAGTACCATTCAGCAACTTGAAATTTTGAACAGCTGGATTAGTCTGCATAACTATAAGAGCCTTTTGTTTCATGTTCTATGATTGACTGAAAAGACTCAGGTGGGTGCTGAAAGACCAACACAGCAAACTAAGCTTCAACTGAAAGATCTTCATACTGCCTAATAAGGCAACCAGCTACATTTGTCTGTAAACTGATATGGCACACCTTAAATTTAAACAGCACTACACACAGGACCCAACATCTGATCTGACCTAGTTCTTCAGTTTGTAGCAACAACCAGGTCAAGGCTTGGTTATTGGTGTGGAGGCAAAATTCCTTGTGTTAAAGGTAAGCATATTTTTCAAAACTGTACAGCATAGTGAGGCACTCCATTTCGTGAATATCTCTGCCCCGTGGGATAATAAATATCTACTACAAGCAATAGGTGCCAAGTCCTCTCACATTCTCTGACAAAGAACTGTTGAAATGGCAACATCACTCACATTAGAAACCAAGGTGCATGTGCTAGAAAAATCAGAAATCTGCAAGATGGGTCATCGATAAAGATTCCTTAATCTGTTCAAAGGCATTCTGCTGGGCATGACTACAAAAGAACCTAACAATCTTACGCTTCAGCATTTGAGTGGCTCCACACTCTGTGAGAAATCAGGCAAGATTTTGACGCTTTGAGATAAAAAAAGAGTGCCCCAAAAAGGAAATTTCTTGTTACGTCACACGACACTTGTCATGATTCAATGATTCAAAGTGAACCAGCATTCTCCAACCTGGCAAAGACTTCGTTCAAATGTAGCTTCTGCACTGACAACACAGAAAACAGTTATGTGATAGCTTTCACTGTTGTGTAACATCACGTTTACAGGTGTTGCTGGGGAATGCTGCCGAGAGTTGTTTATTGCTGCGTAGTAACCGCGGTGTCCCCTGTTATGTCACCACGGGGGATGGGGATGGAGTGTTGACTGGCCTGTTACCATAGCAGCAGCAGTTGCTCCGATGATGTTACGTCACTGCTGGAGGGGAGGTGTTTACCGAATGTTGCACCATCCATGTCACAATATATATTGACTGAGAAGTACCTATAGAAAACCCTTGAACCCTTATATAATCATGTTACCAGTCAGCAGCTTTTCTCGTTTTTACCCTCTCTTTCACTTGCAGACAATTAGATGCAACACCTCTCGTTAAATTATTGTGCTTAAAATGCTCCCTAGTGGGGCTTGGTATCCATCCACAAGCAGGGCATAGAAGGTTGGCAATGAAAATAAACCTAAGTCTTACTGGAACCATTAAGTCATGAGGGTCTCAACAAAGTCTCTGGTAAGAAAAAAAGATAGTACAAAATAACAATCATTTAATAACAACTCAAAATATAACAGTGGGCTATCAAATAGGTATACAAATAACATAACAAGAAAATGCAGAATGACATAGAAAATAATACTAAAGCAGAGCTAAACTGAAAGGAATTTGTTACTAACATCTATATATGGCATAATGGAAGGAAACATACACATCACCACAAAAATATATCAGTCTACAACACATGCCGTGCATAAATAAAATTACATTTCGGATTTTAAATTTTAAATTTAAATCATAAAATTAAGAAGATGAATTGGCACAAGTTACGACAGCGTACAAAAGTGCAGCAATTTCTCCAACAATTTTAATGCACCTGATGATAGCCAAACANTTATTAACATTACAGAATCCACATATTCCTGCCAGTTTTAATATGTATTTTGTAATCAACAAGTGTGTAACACCGGTCAAAGTTTGACACTTCTCTCGCCATTATCTCCGTAACCGTTCAACTTTGGACATAGGTGTTTTGGGTTATATCGGCATACTTTAACATAAGGAACACCCTCCCGAAGTTTGGTCCATTCCTCCTGGGACACCCTGTATATGGCATAATGGAAGGAAACATACACATCACAACAAAAATATGTATATCAGTCTACAACACATGCTGTGCATAAATAAAATTACATTTCTGATTTTAAATTTTAAATTTAAATCATAAAATTAAGAAGATGAATTGGCACAAGTTACGACAGCGTACAAAAGTGCAGCAATTTCTCCAACAATTTTAATGCACCTGATGATAGCCAAACAGGCTGAAACATGTAGTGCAACATGTGTGTTAAATAAACACATATAACACTTGGAAGTTTTAAGAATTCTAAATTTTGAGTTTTAAAACCTTTAATGTGAGAGAACATGAAATGGCAGTGAATACATGAATAAAGAAAAACACAAGATATTCTGAAAATGACTCTTCAAACTCAATTAGTCAGAACACAGTGGTCTGTTGTGGGCAGAGAGATGGATATGACAGTGACAACTGACAATTTTGGATGAAATTTACCTAATAGACTCACCTCATGTTCAGTTTTTATTCCTGAACATCTTAATTCTACATGATCCTCCTCCTCCTCTTCTGTATCTGATACACCCTCAACTTTTATACCAGCGATCTGATTTGCATCATGAGATGTTGGATGTGTCTCACTAGAAGACTCACGTTCCTCCTGTAAATGCATGCAGTTAGGCAAAAGCACAATTTCCTTGTCAGTCATAACAGTGGTCTCTTATTACAAGGAAAAGGAAACACATTCTGACTCCTTCACACTGCATCACGCTGGTAAGTCGCTTTGTATAGACGTGCTTGTTGCAAGTCATTAGCTAGCCATACTCTGTGAAGCGGATGAGAAACTAGTGGTCTCTCAACTAGACAATTATTTCTCCACTATTTATGAAACTTCGAAGTTCTTTACAATGGGCCAGTTAAATTCATCACCCACATATTTCACACCCTTAACACTGATCCCAGTACAGTGCTCCCATCTACACATAAGTGGTCTCTTCCTTTCAGATTTTGCCCAAATCTTCTTAAGCATTTCTCATGTCTCTCCAGTATGCTATGATCACCTATTAACAATAACATCTGTGCACTGATAATCTTAATAACAGAAGAGACACTAAATATAAAAAATATTATTATAATGAGTCAGCCATCGTCATGAAACTGGGAAAATGGAAAATTAAATTAACAAAACCTGTATTAAAATATCAAGTTTCTTGGCCATGAAAACCTAGGGAACAAGGCAATTCTTTTTGCCATACACAAAGACAGAACATTTACAATGTCTTTCCTCAAAGCAGGAACAATTATACAGACCACTAACACCAATGGAACTCTGAAACTACGAATCCTACTGTAGTTCATTGGCCAGCATTGCAGCGCCTTACCCTCCTGCCGCTCCCACCATAGATCACTCAATATGGATATGAAAATCGAAGCTACTGATGGGCAGAACCGAGAGGGCCATGGATTACTAAACACACAACAGGAACACCTAACTCCGTCAAGGTGAGTTACTTGAACAGACAGAGGGACATTTTGGAGGAATATGTTGCCTCTGTTGTCATGGCCAATGAGTAAGCCTTACAAGAGAGTAGCAAACAGATGGCAGGCGGAGAGCTCTTTCTTTGCCTGTCATGTGTTTCTTGCTGGTTTCATGTTTTGACTCCTCTTTGACTCTGAAAATTGAGAAGTCAGACATCCTCAGTTTTAAAATTGATACACTGATCTACATTGTGTGATGATGCTGGACATATCTCACGCCAGAAAACTGGAACACCTTCTCATAAATCCACGCAACTCTGCAAAACCACTGGACCCACAACAATTTTGGCTGTGTCCTATCATTACATGAAACATAACACACCTTCATTATCAACATTTTGTTCTGTACCAAAACAATAACAGCAGCATTACACAGATATTATTACCTACAGCTTTCAAAACCATTACTAACAACTAAATGGAACAGATTTCTCCTTCAAACCTAATGGTCTCTCAGCTAGTGTAAAAACTACCTGTCACTTGAGGAACATGAAAGCTCATTAGGGTGTTGACAAGAATCTGTCAATGTTCACTTCCCTCAGCTAAACAAATCCAGTCCACACCCTCTGACATTATATCTGAAATATTATATTTCAGTAACCTGTTGCATTAATATCTCACTCATTCACTCATTTCCACCTTTAATGCAAATACAATGTTTTATTTTAAAAAGTCATTTATAATTATATTTAAAATTCATAAAATGTCATTAAAATCACATTTTCTATTTATTTGTTGCTACACGTTTTAGCCTCACAGGGCCATTATCAGGCAACCATTAATGATCAAAATCACTGCACTGCATAGGCTCATACATCAATATACTTACATGTTGTTACTGCATGTTGTCATATTTGAGAATGTACGCTCCCACTTTCCTCATATAATTATTTTAATGTTACAGCCTTCACAGCAATTTATGAACTTTAAACGTGATTATAAGTGACATTTTAAAATGAAACCTTGTGTTTGCATTACAGATGGAAATAAGTGGATGAGTGATATCTGTAATGTTTTGTTGAATACCAGTGCCTACCAGATGTGATTACGTACTCTATCTAAACAGGCTTACCACACCCCTTGCCCTGCTTTGAAGTTTGCACTCAGACTGTGTTTCTAGTCAATCTTGTAATTAAGAGATGGTAGCTTTATGCTCAAAGATTATCTTGACTGAAAAAAAAACTGCATTCTAGTCATTTATAAACAGCAACGAAATGCCATAACATAAAAAAGGAATGCTGTGAGCGCATTACAGGTAGTTGCAAAGGCAAGCAGGGAGCCATCACACATATTTTCATGGGGTTAAGATCCATTTTTATACTATATTCTAGCCATGCAAACGTCTCCCAAGTGGTCTTTTCCTTCCAGGTTTTCCATCTGAATCCTGTATAATCTCTCAATCTCATGATTCAAGAACCACTAGTCTCACTTCATTTAAATTGAGCTTTCTACATAATGATGTTCTGTAACAAGCACAAAGTGTAATGCTTATCACTGTGTATTTTTCACCATCCTTCTGCTACTTCCTCCCTCTTACCACCAATTATTTCCTTAAGCACCTTGTCCTCAAACACACACTATGTTTTTCATTTGAGGTGAGAGAGGAAGTTCCACACCCATTAAGCAAAAAGTAAATTATACACTCATGTATGTGTTGTGTGTGTGTATTTTTTTTTCAGACAGGAAATGCCAATGCAAAAGACTGTGAAATGACTGGTGGCAAGCATTTCTCAAATTTTATCTCTTCTAATTTTCCTGACAAATGAAATTTATTTTCTTTATTAATTCATATTTCCCTTTGTGTGTACTACCCTAAGACAAGATGGAAGTACACCCTACAAGCAATGTGCAACAAAACAAAATATATATTTTGGAAATGACTCAAAAAAACTCCATTCACCACAATACAGTTTTTTGATGCAGAGAGAGACGGACATTTGAGAGATAACAGGCAATTTTGGATATTTGTGAAATGTGCCTAACAGTGACACAGACACATAACTCACCTCATGTTCAATTTTTATTCCCAAACATCTTAATTGCATATGATCCTCCTCCTCTTCCTCTGAATCTGATACACCCTCAACTTTTATACTCATGATCTGATTTGCATCACAAGGTGCTGCACATGCCTTGCTAGAAGAACCTTCTGCGTCTTTTTGTAAATCCATGCACCTCTGTAAAAGCGCAACAGCCCTATCATCATTACCACCAGGCTCTTTCATTACATGAAACAGGAAACACATTCGTTACTGTGACCACTTTGCATGCATCACACTGCTCAACTGTTTTGTGCACAAGCTCTTATTGCAAGTCATTAATAACCAATAACTATGTGGGGCAGATGAGAAACTATTAGTCATTCAAGTAGTCAATAAATTCTCTGCAACTTATGAAACTTATAATTTCATTACAATGTTCACAAAAGCCTACGCATTGTCACAAGACACATAGGAGCACAGACATGGGCGTAACACCAAAATTGAACTTATGGACAGAAGCACAGCAGTTTCATCAATTTTACAGTCACCTGAAGGTCACAATACAATATTATACATGTTCTCTTCGCTTCAGGGTTCACCAAAAATTTTGCACACATTTCACATGCCTGACTAGTGTGCTGTGATTACCTTCTTACAGTATCACCGATGCAATGAAGATCTAAGTAATTGGGACACAAAAGACACAAGACCCTCATTGTAATGAGTCAGCCATGCTCATGAAAAAGAGAGAATGAAATAAACAGAACCCTGTATCAAAATAGCAAGTATTTTTGCCATGTAAAACTAGGGAACTAGGGGTTAAAAATCCTTCCTCTATAGACAAAGACAAAACACTTACATTTTCTTTAACAGCAAAGAACAATTCTGGACACTACCAACACCGTCGGAACATAAAGGTCCAATAATCAAATAAAACGAATGAATGCCTGTAGCTACATTCACATAAACACCAGAACCATCCACAACATACAATGCAAATGGGAGCACCGGACTGATCGTACTGTACGGTGTTTCCACGGTCTCTCCATGCCGCCACTTACCACGGATCAATACCTTGCTTACGTTGTCAACCTTAATACGCTTGCATCCCTATGGCGCCCATGGCTACAAACACAAACCCATTTACCTTCCCCGTGAAGAGTCTTCATTAATGATGGACAACATGGCCGCCGAGACTTTATTTTCACTGTGGAAAACAGGTATTGTATATACAAAAAAGGGGTAGGCAATGTCCATCCGGTCTTCTATAGCACATTCTTATAAACATCTTATTCTATTACAGCGGTCTTCCCGCGATTCTTAACATGAATCTTAAATTAAATCTGGGCGTATCCTATTAACCTGTACAATTACGTCCTTCACTTTTCTTACATTTTTATTTTATATAAATATAAGAATGTTGTTTATGAAGTAATGGATGCCTTGCAGAAAAATTTTATCTTCCAGCTTTAAGAGCTCTGTAACTGACTCTGGGTATTCTTTTTTGCTGTTCTCAAACAGAAAGTCCATCGATTCCCGTTCGTCCTCGTACCGTTTTCAATCTTTTATTTTTATTTATTTATTTCGTCTCTATAGATCATTGTCACATGATATAAGAAAAGTCAGTTACTGTACATTGGCTGATTACAATAAGAGAATAAACTTACAATACTTACAATTGTTTACAATAGATTAGATTACAATAGTTAAGATTTCATTTAGTGGGAGGTGGAATCCATATTAGGTCCCCTCGGCACGTCGGCTTCCATATGTCCTATTGCACCTGTACTGGTGATAATGTTTATGAAGAATTTGATGGAATGAGGATTGGCAAGGGAAACCGAAGTACTCGGGGAAAACCTGCTCCAGCGCCACTTTGTCCATCACAAATCCCACTTGACTAGACCGCAGCGGTGGGAAGCCAGCGACTAACCGCTTAAGCTATGGCGCGGCCTTTGAGATAATATTGGTGAATTTGGTGATGGCACTGGTATAACGTTTCACTGTCGACTCTACACTGCAACATCTCATTACAGCTGTTCTTCCTTCCTGGTGCAGCTTCTTGGCATCTGCAATCTCTCCAGAGTAGCCCATTCACATACATCTCCGACTGTTATCTTAGTTGCTGGAAGAAAGAAAGGAAAACTGCGCAGTAGCGATTCCCAAAACGGATTATTCATTAATTATGTGATTATAATTGATTAGTGTGTGCCTCACACGAGAGAAACTCATCCACAATATAAAAACAATGATCGAGTAGCTAAGTTTTCAAAGCATTTTTAAACTTATAGTAGCGATATTTCTAAGACAAAATTCCCTGTCCCTAACGGGAAGAACCCCCCCACCCTGCAGCCCGTAGCCCATGGCTATGCCTTGGCTATCCCGGTCCCCTCACACATTCTCTTCCCACGATCTGAGTACAAACTTTATCGTCCTAAGCTCGACACTTAGGATAGGAAGAAATTGTGTATGAGGGAAATACGGTTCATTGCTCACAACTGCTGCCAATCTGTCAATGTGTTTTCCCTTGGGAGTACCTAGCGGGTGGACAGAGGGAACCCTCACGCCTACTTGCTGTAATTTTTAACTTCCCACATGTGTACAATGGTTTCTGCAAAATTCAATGTCCACGCAATCATTATTTGAAGGAAATTTTCAGTCTCAATGCAGAACAAGGCGATTCCCCAAGGCCCAATATTATTTAAGCATTAGTTTTGAATGACGAATAAGGTTAGACAGTATTTTTGCAGGACATGCCGTATAGGCTTTCCACAGGAGCGTACTGCCTACATTTTCAGATTGAAGAATAAACCACGTACGGAACCAGGAGGAAGGAAGAAGTTTCGTCAGCCTATCAGTACAGAATTACTTTACCTAATAGAAAAATGACTCCCCACTACGTAACATTTCCCATCAGCCTGTATTTACATAGTTATTGCAATGCCACAAGGAGGTCCGAGCCAGGATGTCTACACTTCAGTCCATCCAATTATAATACACCCACTGATAGTAAACAAAAATACAGCAAAACAATGTGTACTCTCGTCAGTGTCATTTTTCTTCCATACGTCCCGAGGAAGGGAACCTATAATACAAAGTTCCTTCGGGGTTTTGAAAACTGGGGCGCGCAAACAAACTGAGCTAGGCACATGCGGTTTGCGGCAGATCATAGTGAAACCCTGGAAGTTTTCTTCAGCCGCCAAGAGATGGAATAAACTGCCATCTTTATGATCTTTACGTTTCACAATCAGATGCGGTCTTTAGGTTACCTCGCCATGTTATTTCTGCTTATGAATGGTATGTTTACTACGAAAAATTAAATTAATCTAGAAATATATATGAAGTAAAAAATTCCTGTTACGGTACTTCTGTAGGTTATGCATCTTTAGATGTAGCTAATAGGAGGTCTGTAGAATCTCGAAACTCACCGTGTACTGTGATTGTTATATCTTTTTTGTTTCTTGAAGGATAAATGGGGGGGGGGAAATCGGAGCTGCCCCACGGTGCTCGTCATCCAGTAGGCAGACATGTTTGTAACTCAACTTTCCCAGGAATTCAGCACAGTAATTCTGATTTAATGCGTTATGTAGTGGCTTTATTATGTGTTACTTAATCCAAAGAAAAAAATAAGTTTAGCTGGTGTCCGCATTAAATATATTAAACATTACCCCTCAATGTAGCACCAGCACCATGTTTGTAATACTTAAGATTTTTAGATCATATGTAATACTCTTCCGCGTACGTAAACATTTGTCTGATAAATTTCCTATCCAGAATGGTCTAAAACAAGGAGATGCTTTATCGCCACTCATTTTTAACTTTACCTTAGAATATGCAATTAGGAAGATCCAGGGAAACCACGTAGGACTGAAATTAAACGGGGAAGCTGTTGGTATACGTTTATGATGTGAATCTACTGGGTGATAATGTAGATACAATAAAGAAAAACACAAACTTTAATTGACGAAAGTAAAGAGGTTGGTTTACAAGTAAACACAGAGAAAACTAAGTATATGTTATTGTGTCGTCACCAAAATGCAGAGCAAAATCATGTCATAAAGATAGGAAATAGATGTTTTGAAAATGTGGCACAGTTCAAATATTTGGGAACAAGGATAATAGTTCGAAACAGATCTGGAGGAAATTAAAAGGCGATTGAACTCGGGTAATGCTTGCTACCATTCAGTCCAGAATCTTTTGTCTTCTTCTATGTTTTCCAAAAATATAAAAAATTAGAATATAGAAAATTATAATTTTGCCTGTGGTTCTGTATGGGTGTGAAACTTGGTCAATGACATTAAGGGAGGAATATAGACTGAGGGTGTTTTAGAACAGGGTGTTGAGGAGAATATTTCGACGAAGAGGGATGAAGTGACAGGTTTGATAAAATTGCATAATGAGGAGCTTCATAAATTGTACCCTTCTCCAAGTATAATTAGAATGATAAAGTCAAGGATTAGATAGGCAGGTCATGTAGCATGAATGGGGAGACTAATGCATAGAGGATGTTAGTGGGAAAGCCAGAAGGAAAGAGACCACAGGGAAGACCACGGCGTAGGTCGGTAGCAAATATTTGAATGAATCTTAGATAGAATGGGATGGTATGAATTGGATAGATCTGGCTCAGGAGGACCAGTGGGTGGTTCTTGTGAACACGGCAATGAACTTTCGGGTTCCATAAAATGCTGGGAGTAGCTGCAGAATTGGTGGCTCATCCAGAAGGACTCAGCTCCATGAGTAAGTGAGTAATGTAATACTTTTTCAGGACTATGGTGTGGGCAGGAAGAGTTGGGACATCTTGTTTTATTTGATTCTGCTAGAATGCTGCACTATAAATTTTTGTGCAGTAGAAAGAGATTTCATTACAGCTGAACAGATTCGAAGTTAAATGTATCTCAAATTCTGCAGCACAATCAAGCCAACAACTACCTGATCCTTCAATACACAACATTTAAGGTAAGCACTATATAGTTCATTTTATGAAAGAAGTAGCTAATAATGAGTAGTTTTCAAAGTTGTTGTCCCCAGAACCAAGTTGTAATGAAAAAAAGTCACCGTCATCTTCAAACACAGCAAAACATCATACACAATACTTTATATATTACACAAAAAAAAATATAACTTCACACTAGAGAATTTAAACTTCAGTCGACACTCGATAGTCATCAAAACAATACACGTGTATATTATACCCACCACACTGTCACACAGATTTAATTATAAATTCAAAAAAATAACTTCTTCAATGGGAACTAGAAATTCACTTTCCACCCTCTTCTTACAAGTACTTATACTAATGCAAAAAGAAGTATATCACTCTGAATAATAACCTACTCACACGTGTAATATACACAGGCTATACAACAAAATTACGCCCTGATTTCTGTCATACCAAATATGCACTCATAAAATCTAATTCACTCTCTATCCATATAACCAATGAAACACATTTTCTACAAATCACTGTACATACTTCACACGAGATTATTAATAATCGTGCAAGAATAACCTCAAAGAAGCAATTTCTTTCACTACACACACTATTCTTATATGCACTTACTTTCGTCAAATCAATAAATGTAACTTATGGTGTATTCTTCCTTCACACATACTTCACTTTCATGGTTCAGAGTGAAAACACTTCGATTTCGTTGTGGAACAGATGACACATGTTTGTAAAATTTCGTGCACTCGCCATTACTCGATCCAGGATAATACACACATTAAAGCCTACCACTTGCACTATCTCGATGAAATCTTTTAAGATATACTTTCAGGCAGATAATCAGAACTTGTACATATATGTATAAAATACACACATAACACCGTCTTATTATTTATAAACATCTCTTGATACCAGGAAGGTAACGTACCTTGACTCTGTATAGCGGATATTTAGGTCGCAGTGACAGCGCAGCCAACCTCTTAACATGACTGAAACAGAAATATTCCATTATCAGTTCCATTACAGAAAGGTAATTTCTCACTAATTATTTACCCACTTTCGTGCACAATATTATTCTACTTCCTATCCAGAAAGGAAATTTCGGGCGAAACAAATGCCAAGCAGTCACTCAGTTGCTCGCGTATCCATCCACGAGAAGGATGGTAACGATTTCACTGATAATAAAGATTTTCAGTCATAACGTTATGCCATTAGAGGGCAGCATAATGACATAATCAGTGATATTCAGTAATCATTTGTATCACCGTGGGGCATGCGCAAACTCGTGAGGTGGGAGCGGCGTTTTCGACAAAATCTGAGCTATGACATAGCAATATAACCTCGGAATATAAGTGCATAGATTGATATTATGGGTGGAAAAACAGTCAAGACGCTCAATTTTATATATAACGACACATTCCGATTTATATTCCATGTTACGACAATCCTATATTACGTTCCGTTAAATAGCCGCTTCGTATATGACGTCACTCTTGGGTGTGCACAATCAACTGCTTCGCACCCACCTCAAACACAGGGGTACCATTCGCTGATGTTATGTTATGTTAGGTTAGGTTAGCGCAGTAGGCTACTGCGCATCCATCTGTAACTTGGAGGGGTCAAACCTCGGTAATTTACGCTAATATTAGGTTGTGAGTGTACAATATGACAGGTGTGCGCAAATGA